TTCCGATCCCTGGTTCTCCACCTGGCAATCCCTCACATGCCTTCTAACACCAGCTCAGGCCAAGTCGGCCTAGGCTCAAAGGCATCACAGGCCCTGCCAGTCGATGCTTGGGGACATTGCCTGTTCCAGAGGGTAAGCCAGTACTAGGGATGGGAAAGACACTTTTAGAGCGGCAGGAGATGCACTGTGCTGTGAAAGCAGGAATTAATGACTTTCTGCTGACAGCAAAACACCACCTCTAACAGCCCATCTCAGCTCTCCTGGACTTTCACTGAAGTGTCACGCCCGACTCACACACAACAGCTCAAGGTGCAACTTTGTCCAAGGGCTGCCCCTGAGGGCATCTTGCCCCCTCGCTTCAGGCTCCAGACCAGAGATCCTCAGAGAGCTCTCCAATTCACTTTACATGCTCCAGCAGTGGACCTGTTCCAAAAACCTTGCTGCCTCCCTCCCTCAGGAAAAGAACAGAAGCAACTCCAGCAATTTGTTTTTCTCAAAAAGTTGTTTGTTGTTTATTGAATTCTTCTTAATGTTATTTCAAAAAAAAAATTCAAATTTTAGATAAGAAGAAAAACTCTGGTGTAAAATCAAAACTAAAGGAAATATCTGATCCATGGACATGCTCCAATACAAAGAGAACCAAAGGCCCTGAGGGGCTCTTGCAGCTTGCTGCTTCCTGACCATCTGAACCCAGAGCACCTCCTCAGCTCACTCCAGAACCAGAAAGACATGCATGCACAGCCCCATTGCCCATATCGGCCTGCACTGTGTGGGAGCAGCTGTGGCAGTGCAGACCCGGAGTTAGATAAAACCCCTCTTCGTCCTTGTCTGATATCCTTCCACCTACCAATCCTACCAGGGAGCACTTCCCTCTGAGGAGGGTTTCCAACTACTTGACTAAGGTACAGGTACAAGTTTCTTGTCAATGAGGCGCGCACGTTCCTCCAGCCCCCTTGCTCAGGCTCAGTGCACACCTCCTTTCTCCTCTACTCATGGCCACAGACTGCAAACTAAAGGGGTAAGAAATCCACTGGCTTCTGCTGAATGCAACTTGGACTGCCAGCCAGGCCTTAGGGACAGATGGGCAGGTGAAGAGGAGACTTAACTCTCAAAACAAGGCTGTTTAGGAAAATAAGCCAAGTGAGTGTTCAGCAATTATTTGGGACTATACACAGATGGTGTTTGCCTTAGAGACATCACACACATGTTGATAGATTTCCTGGCAAGAGCTCTTAACACAAGCCATACATGGTTAGTTACTACTGGATCTGCTGGGTGGGCTTCCATGGAGCAGCCCACAAGATAGCAAGGTTCTCCTAGGTCATGCTAGGGGTGACCAGGCCCTGAAGCATGATCATGAGGCGACGGGCAGGCTTGCTCAGCGCGTTGTGGGGTTCCACCTGGAGGAACTGGAAGAGCTTCTGCCGCACCTGGTTCATGACAGACCCCATGTGGTCACGGGTAATGGGGTCACTGTGGTCCAGGTGCATCACTGCTTCCTCCAAGTAACTGAAGGAGAGAGACCAGGTTTAGAGCCAAACTTGACAAGTGACTCCAGACCAACTCAGTTCATTTTAGTGGAGACATAAAATTCTGTCCCCCATCTAACCACACTCAGTGCAGTAAGTTCAGCCATTAGAAAATAAATGTTATTGACTTCTAGCAAAGTCCAGCTATCCCTTCTTCAACATGTAAGGGCAGACTATAGTTTCCAGTCTGCAGTACATGCAACACAGCCTGGCTGCCTGAACCAAGCAGGCACAACAGCAAGCTGGAGCTCCCTGGAGGGAGGGAGGTGGTACTTGGCCACAGGCTACACCTGGTCAGAGTTGTGTAAATGCTTTCTTTGATGGCTTTTTAGCATAAACAGAATTAGTTATTTATTTGACCGCAAAAAAATCCCTTCAGCAGTGAGGTTTATTTCATGTAGGGATATATTTAAGGTCTGCTTCCAACATAACTAGGTCTGTGCAAGAAGGGAACGGGAAGAGAAAGAATTTTACCAACAAGCCTTTCCAAGTTCAGATAAACCACACACTTCCAAATTCACAGCCTGAAAGTAAGCCTATGTGGTCACTGCAAGAGATATTCACTAACTGGCCAGCTTGAACTCAACAGCAGTGGCTTGAACCCTGATTATCAGCTCTTCTGTAACTCAAAGCCTTTTTCCAGCTTTTTCTAGCTTGAACTGCCTTCCCCCATGCTAAATTGAGTTAAAAACTGGATTTAAAATATTCTACATGGAAGCCATGGTCAAAACCTTCAGGCAACTTAACAAGTTAGTTTTTCAAGACAGATAACAGGGCTTTGACTTAAAACCTAGAAGTGTCCATGGCAAGTACCAGCACAGTCACTATTTTGTCACATGAGCTTTGCTTAGAGCATCTAACAGACACTTCTTCCAGAAGATCCTGCTGCCACCTCACACTGAACCTCTCTGGCAGTCATGATGAGGAATTGCCAGCACAAAGTCCAGTCATGGATTAAGAATACAAGGCAGAACAAAGTTGCTCTGGATATTATGCTATCCAGGGAGCATGGCACTATCCCTCCTTCTACCTCCACATGGGAATTGCTCCTTGGTTACAGGGTATTGCTGCACAGACTGCAAACAATATTTAGAGACTACAAGACAGGAGCTAACAGCATCTACAGCTAGGTACCTATTTACTACTACCTCTGGGCTGCAAAGCTCTCTGTTGCAATACCTAAATCTTCTTCCAAGTCTTAGCAGTTTGTTCAGGTGCCAGCAATAGGCCAAACAAGTTCTAACCTTTGTCAAAGCACCACCTTCCACTTCCATGTAGTGAATTTAAAGCCAGAGCCAGGAATGTGCCTGCATAGGTTCAAACCTGGCTCTGTGATCATACTCACTTCAGTTTCAGTTCTGTACGAGTACCCAAATCTGAGGAGAGCTGCTGAATGAGAGACAGGAGCACAGGCTGGGACAGCGGGCATGGATGCTGGCCAAATACTTGCTGAGGATCCACAGTCTCACAGACATACAGGACCAGATTGAGATCAGCTGCTGTTAGAGCCTGCAAGGAAGATACAGCTAGAAATGCAGAGGAAACAACAGCCAGGTGAGGGACATGGGATAGAGCACAAGACAGCTGTCTGCCTGGGGACAGCTCAATGGCTCACCAGCCTGCTCTGGGAGCAGAGGGCTCTGCAAACCATGGTGTACATGCAAGCAGGACAGGGTTTAGGCTGTCAATGCACCCCCCATTTGTTCTAAACTAAAGGGAAGTAACAGACCACAGTCAGACACAGAAGCAGGATACAATCAGCATGGAGCAGGCCCATGTTTGCACTCCCCTACCAGTTCACTTGCACAGCATCACTACCTCTTAGCCCTGGAGTTTGTCTGTAACAGCTCAAATGATTTGCCTATGCATCTAGCAACGACGACAGAGTCAGGCCCCAGTTGGTATATCTGCCTGGAGAGGCTTATGAAGCTTTGCTCTTTAGGGATATACCACGTGCCACTGCTGATGGCAAAACAATCTGGCTTACTCTGAAGTAATCTTAGGAGCAGCACTAACACTGTCCTGACAAGGAATCAGCAGGAAAGAAGGAACTTAAACGCGAAATCATGGAACTTGCATGGCTCTTGCCTGACCTGCATGAGGGTACAACTGCACCCCTTGAATGGTCTGCTGCCAGAGGTCTTTTCAGCCTATTCCTGTAGAAGTTGTTGTGGGACTATGTCCACACCTCAGGAAGCTGTTCTCAGTCCATCTCCCACCAAAGCAGTGCGGCCTTTGCAAGGAAGCCTGTGTACCTGCTGGAAAGCTTGATTGAGGTGTCCTTGCTGCAGCAGCTGAAGGATGTGAGTTTGCTGAGACTGGAAGTCCATGTGAGTAGATGGGATTGGAGTCCCTGCCGCTGAGCGCATCGCCTGGACAATGCTTGAGGTGACAGCTGCTTGCTGCTCCTTCATAGCCAGGCTCACTTCTCCTTTAATGACTCTCTGCACCTGGGCCAAAATAAACTTCTGCAGGCTAAAAAAAAAAAAAAAAAAAATCAACCATCCTTCAGAACGAATAAAAACACAAAGCAGCTTTTGAAAACGAAGAGCTGAAGGAAGGACTACATTGCTCAAAGCTTTTATTAGTGAGAAAGAACAGAGGCTTGTTTCTTTAGTGGGGCTTCCAAAGGGTTCATACAACTTGCTGAGGCACAGGTATGGCCAGTCTGCGCAGGGAAGCTCTATAGCCAGTGACACACAGTCCTGGGGGCGTATGCAGACGATACTGGAATTCTTTGTGGGAAAGGGGTGTTCTACGGAGCCAATTCTCTCGTTATACAGTTTTTTAAATCTTCACTGAATCTGGCTTCCAAGCAAGGCTGCTAGGCTCTGCATTCACCCAAGAACGGACACAAACTTCTACATCAATTATATATAGTTTCCCAGCCTGCACATGACGCCTCTAAAATAAGAACAACCTCCCTCCCTGAGCGTGTAACCTCTCCTTAGATGGCTAATTCAGAGTGCAGGCTCTGTTGCTGTATGTTTCCCCAAGACAGGATCCTCCTGTCTTACAAAGGGTACAAAGGATCTAACCTGCCCTACTGCAGAAGGGTTAGAATAGCAAAACCTCCCTGTGAGCAAGTCCAGCCCACGCAATGAGACTAGCATTTAGTCTGTTATCTTTCCTGGTGTGTCTCATCTGCATTGAAGACCCCCACCACACACTGACATACGTTCTAACAGCTTAAAATAGACAAGGCCATTCTACCCTGCAGGTGACCACCAGCCAGCAGCCGGCCCCAAGCTTCATGGTGTGAACGTGCTGAAGGCACCGCAGGGATTCTGTCCCAAAACCAGGATGGCCAGACACAAATTGCTGCAGAACAGGTGAGAAGACAGAATAGCCTGCAGAAACTGTTTGTATGCATAAGGACACACAGTAAAGAGGAAAAGCCTAGAAGAGACCCAAAGATCATTTTGGAACAGGGAAGCTAGGCAGACTCGAGTATGCTTTTGGCCTGCATTAGGTCCTCTCTCATCCTCCCAAAATACACATGGGTCAGTCAGCTTGAAAAGCAGGCCCCAAGCTCATATGCGCAGCAGAGATTCAGCTGGTCATTAGAAATATTTTGTGACCTTTGTTTTGTGCCTCATAGAGCAGCAGTTACACCAGCCCACATGCTTTTTTGTCATACTGTGCAAACAAGGCTAACAGGTAGCCCTCTACATCACTTGTGGTAAAGGGCTTGCTGCCACAGGTGAGCAGGGAGGGGTTTTGTCATGCACATGTACACCTTTCACTGACATCTCTTTCAACAAGCCCAGCTGCCAACTTACTTGCCCACAATAATATGCAGCTGATGCTGCACCTCAGCATGGACACTGGCCGCAATGGTGGAAGCCAGTTGCTCAGTGGTGCTCTGGAAGGTGCTGATGAGCTG